AATTTGGTCTGAAAATCTGTTACTCTTCTAAGCCTGATTGTTCAAGCTTTAATTGCATGAGTTAAATGCCGAGGCAATGGCCACGTTAGTAATCGACCAACTACAAAGATCAGAGACATTGTTACCCGTATTTATATCGACTAAACAAACCCTTAGCCAATCTATCACATTGCCCTGTTTGAAGCATCGGAATTCGCCATTGCAATCCATCAAGTTCGAGACAATATGAAACGGGATTAACTACTAATTGCAAGCCCCCTGTTTTTTTTCACGTCTTGATGCATCAAGAAGCACATTCCAGTGGGAATAAAGAAGGGCAGTGAAAGTCCGCACATTCTTGGAACGTCCACGCTTGTCATGCATTAGCATACGCTGATAAGTGAAAAAGTAATGCTCGTTCGTGACTCGGTATTCAGCTAGTGGAGAGGACAAGCACGCGGACGCAGGTACTCTGATAAGCCACTCGGTATGCAAAGATCATGTCCACACCCCCGGATTCAGAATCAGATGTAAGTCCAACGATCACGTGCTTTCGAAGAATCACCTCACACACCGAGCGGCATGATTGTCTTTCTCGCTCAAAGTCTCAGTTTGAATGATTGCATTGCACGGGCCAACCAATGTGCGAGGAAAAATCCCCATGGTATTTTAGGGATGATAGAATATCTTGAGTATATTGAAACGTGTGATTGATTATGCATAAGATACTGCCTCTAGATACACAGATTCGTGAACAGATAGCGTCAGCACTAGACGTCCAAGAGCGTTGAACGATCTTTGCTCGATAGAAGGTGAAGAAGCCATTCAATGTTTAGATATGTTGATGATTAGATGGACCTTGCAAATGCGTGAACAGGTTATTGGACGAGGAATATGGTGATGCTTGGAAGGACCTTGTGAAATGGTGAACAAACTAGAGGCTGTGTGATTGTCAAAAGGGTTTGGATGAACCAATAAAAGGTGAACGACCTAGGAGACATGAAGACATCAATAAGTTTAGGATTTTGTTAGTCCGATAAGATGAGTCAGTTCCACAAGGATGCTCTCCACTTGCCACTCCATGGATCTTGTGTATCAAAAAAAATTTAAGGCCTGGGAGCTTTATGGCTTAGATTAATGGAGTCTGGAGACTAAAAGTCAGTCCATTTAAAAGGTTGAGAGAAAGGCCGTGTTGTGGGATAGCACCGTCATCATAAAATAATTTGGATGGACCAAGTAAAAGGTGAAACGCCTATAGGACATAAGGATGTTAATATGCTGGGAAAATTACCAAAAGTCCTAAATCTATTGTATGGATTCCAGTTCAGTTTTAAATCTTTTAATTTGGCCAATTTACTTATAAACCTTTTGATAATTTGCTAATGTAGTCCTTCTGATCAATTTTAGCCGGAAATGGCCGAAGTGAATGCCCACCGTCCTAACCACTGGGGGTTTACCCGAGTGGCCACCCTTCTCACTTGAGAAGGGGGAAGTGGGAAGTTCGAATCCCCACCTTCGCAAGGGGTAGGGGTAGGGCCGCGTAGTTTAAGATGTGGGTTTCGACGCCCACGCCCTGCAAGAAGTGGCGCGCAAGTCTGAGTGTATATCCTGAGTGAGAGATAGAGTAGAACCGACCAAAAAAAAAAAGAATGCCCACCGTCCTAGGTGGCATGGCCGATACTAATGTAGATAATTTTTGCAATTTTTTTTAAATTTCTAAATTTTTATTTTATTTTATTTTTTTCATTGTGGCTAGCGAAGGCTTGCAAGCCCTTGCCCTTAACCACAATGAAAAAAAATGAGAATTTTTTTAAAAAATTGCAAAATTGTCCATGTTAACGCCAACCGTGTCACATAACACGACTGGCATTCACGTTAACAATTTCCAGTCGAAATTGGCCAGAAAGGCCACAATGGTAAATTGTCTAAGATTTTAGGACTAAATTGGCCAAATTGAAAAGTTTATGATTGAATTGGCATCCGTACAATAAGTTTATGACTTTTTTGGTAATTTTCTCTAATCTACTTGGCGGTACCTAGGAGAACAAGCTTGGGTATGTAGAAACTTGAGTGGACTTGACTACAGAAGGTGTTCTTGCTACAAACGGCCTAATGATTCTACTATGAGCCTCTACGGCGGTCTTGGAAGGAAAACCGATACTCCTTATAAATTTGATTTGAATTTAAATTGGCGTTTTATGAGTGGTCTCAGGTGTTGGAATCTACAGAAGGCGGACTAGAGAAAATCGTAACAGTTTACATTATTTGGCCAGCCAACAAAGATGACGACAGAATGCTGTACAGGCAGAAATGACAGTTCTTGGAAACTGTCTCTACAGAGCTGCAATGTGATCATCTGCGACTGCAGATGGTGGAACGGATGGCTTCGTGGGATTTGAATTTCAAATGGTCATTTGATGTCTCATGGCTTTAAATTCAACCGAAGGGAAGTAGTAGAGTTAGGGGTAAATGAGCAAAGATTAGTCCATGCTATGTGTGTTCATCTACTTAACGTTATTGTGTGCAGAAGTTATATAAATCTAATTGTATTTCTCTATAAAATCTGAATGTCCGTAATCAAATAAGAGTGTTTGTGATGGTTTTTTGTCTAGGTAGAATCAAAGCTACAAGTAGAAGGAAGCATCTTCAGATGCTATATTCAGACGCTCTAACATGTCAAAAATTACGTAGTGGATTCCAGTTTTGATTTGGGCTGTTAGAGTTGGGAGAGTGGGTCAGGCCAAGTGGATAGGCTGATCCACTGCAAGTATAATGTGTGTCTGTTCCAACCTTGAAAACTTTTTCTATATACGCATGATTCTAGTGCATGTTCTACACATTGTCTATCACATAATGCCAAAAAAGTTCAAGGTTTCTTAGGTAACCAATTCACCTCCCCTTAACTTGTGCCTAATCCATTTTATCAACTTCGACCACCATTCAACGGCGCCAGTGCCACTATCAACATCTCTCTATGCGTATGTGTGTGTGTGGTGTTCATGCATGCGTGCACGTTCTCAATGGTCACAACATCACCCTATGGATCTCAATGAAGAGCATTGAACTCCTCTTGATTTGGTACGCGTGCGAGATACTGACGAGATCTTCTATGGCAATGACTGGCTATTAAGAGAGAGAGATGGCAATGACTAGCTAGAGAGAGAGAGAGAGAGAGAGAGAGAGAGAGAGAGAGAGAGAGAGAGAGAGAGAGAGAGAGGGGGGGTCGTCAGTGAACAAGCCAAAATAAGAAGTTATCTTGCACTTCTTTTTGCTATGTACATTTTTAAAAGAGTCATGTACATGTCATTTACGATTTTATGTGACATCAAATAGACACCGCATCAAATTAAATCTGAAATCACCAGCACGCGATGGGGGAGCTACAAGCACGACAACGGCTAACACGACATGGTGGTAATGACCGTCTCAAGCAACCACGAGCACGACTACTTCTCGGCATGTCATTCCGAAGGTTGAAGCCAAGTGAAGCTACTCGAGGGTAGCTTTGGTTCGGCTCGATGACTTCTGAAAACTGACTCCCTAAAAGGCAAATCATGCTCGTACTCAAGTATTTGGTCAAACTGAGCTCAAGCTTGTCAATGCTCAACCCAATAGGCTGTCAAGCCGAGTCAAGTTTTCATTATTTTCGAAAAAAATATCTATTACTTAAAAAATCAACACAGAATGCGTAAAATCACAAAATATTCTAGCTTATAGAGCTTAAGCTCAAGCTCAAAAGCTAGAGTTTGATTTATAAGTTAATGGTAATCGAATCAAGCTCAAGAAACTTGATTTTCTAATAGAGTCGAGCTTATTTACACTCGTGTGAGTTCAAATCAAGTTTTGCATACCAAGTATGCGTGCCAAGTTGGGCTCGAGCTTTAACATTGTATAGACTCAACTTGGCTCGAGTATACCCCTAGTCTTTTGAAATCAGAGAGAGAGAGATATGGATCCATCAAGTTAGAAGAGAGAGTAATTCATACCAGCAACATTAAACGATGTTAGATCCACCTCCGAAAATTCCAGCGTTAGTGGACAAATGGCCTTTTCCAAAAGTAAAGAGATCATTTTGATTACAGGTACATGAATGATTTTGAATTTCGCACAGAACACAAAGACGATTGCATTGCCACTTGCCACTTTCAAGAATGACCTCCGAGTCCCCCTTCCCATTGCCTCAATCCCCACAGGGACAGTTGACTTCTTTTTTTTTTTTTTTGGTCAAAACAGGGACAGTTGACTTCAAGCATCTGATTTTCTCGCTGATTAGGAACTAAGAAATAAGATTCATGCAAAGACTACAAATCATCACCAACAGGAGCCATGCACTTATCTACCTTAAGGCACTTGAAATAATGGAACCATGCTTGCATTTTCCAAAATTCAAAAGCCAATTCCACAAACACATCTGTCTAGAAAAAAACATTACTTCCACTTTCTTGATATGATATTCGGCCGTCAGAAGTTTTTAATTTTTTTTCCCCCCAAAAAAAAAACATATTTTAAAAAAAAAAAATAAAAAAAAACATTTTTGGCAATACACTCCCAAGTCATAGATTTGTAATGATCTCAGGCATCACCCCTCATAGTTGTTTCTCATTCTCCGAAACTTATCCCTCAATGAAGACAATAGGACGTACGTACAGTTTACCATTTTATGAAACTCGACTTTTCACTGCTGAAACCTAACATAAAAACGTGCATCCTCACTGTCGGTTTTATTTTTACTTTTCATTTGTTTGAAAAGTTTGCCAATTTCCACGGTAATACTTTCAGCCGAACCCAGAACATCATAGTTTCCCAATCAGATGCTCCATATCCAGAAGATCCAAGACACAATCTCTACTCATGGACTATTCTGTAAAGAGTAACTATCAGCATAACACTTCTCAACAGATCGTTCAACAAGTTGCACTAATCTTGACATATGTGCCTTGATGCACCAGAAAAGACAACTACCTCAAAGAGATTCAGCAAGCGCTGACCGGAGAACGGAAAAAGAAAAAAAAGAAGACAACTATCAGATGCTTCAGATCCAGAAGATCCAAGACAACCTCTACACATGGACTTTTCTGTTAACTATCAGCAGAACACTTTCTCAATAGATCGTTTGACAAGTTGCGCTAATCTTGACATATGTGCCTGGATGCACCAGAAAAGACAACTAGCTTGGAGAGATTCAGCATGCGCCCACAGGAACAACTACACTGGAGCAAAAATATACGATTACCACACACTGGTGGTTAACATATACCAGGTCCAGATTATGCCTTTGCTTTCCCAGCCTGAAGAGACTGAATCCTCTGTTGTAACTTCAGGATCTGCACCATGCATAGGATAGAATCATTGACATAAATATGAACATTACGAGGCCCTTCTAAAACAGCAATTTTTCTATGAATAACTTCTCAAACAACTAACCAAGAAGCTTCATCAAGGAGACAAACTATATGGGTGCTAATTCAAAAACTTAAAAGAATGAAAGCATAAGTCATTCTCATGATAGGAAACATATTGTTCAAAATTTGGTGTAGTCATTATGATTAATTTCTCTGAGTTCACATGCCAAAACAGCAATACTAGACAGTGTATCAAATTAATCTCTTTACAATGTTTAGAAAGTCAACAGAAGCTCAAAGGACAAATTACATGTTGCCACCTTAAAAGTTTATTTTGTTCCCTATTGCACTGCAGTCTGACAAGCTACAACAGTTTAGCCCAAGTGGCTGCCCATGATGGTTAAGTTTTCCCCACAACTGACTCGCCTCCAAAGCATGTGATATGTAATTTCTTGACTGAATTGATACTATTATTTCAAAAGACAAAAGACAACAACTTTACAGGTAAATAGGGAAACTCTAACAAAGAGCTTCGGTAGTTTGCAATCTCAGACATAGAATTCACTGCCCAATTGAAGAGAATGTCACTAGCAATCTCTTCAAATGATATGTCTAATAATTACGCAACACATGGCCGGGCATCACTGGTAAGAATTTGGGCCAAACTGATGTATGTGGTGAAAGTGCAAGATGGTCAGAATTTGTGCGGTCTCTTTGTGCATCCAAAGGCGATCAAGTGGAAACAAAACCATTCTAGAGCATATGTGGCAGTTGTCTGGTTGATGAGACTTCTGTTCTTTGGTTGGTCTATATCTAGGGGTATTTGGAGGACCGTTTTCAATCTGTGTTAAGTTAATACTTAAAAGGCCTCTTAGCTATTGGCTTCAGGAACTGCAATGGGTATGTCAACACTTAAAGGCAAATTCAGTCTTCGGGATACTCACAAACTTGCTCTAGTACAACTAATATATAGTGTGCTAGAAATTTAAAGGTACATGAACATGGTTTTTACTATCTCTCAAGATGAACTGCTCTGTAGAATAGAGTGTTGTTTCTTGTAGGTTATGCAGTGTGAACTTGTTTCCCAGAATCACTTCCCTGCATTTGGATGTTTGTGGAAATTGGAACATAATTTGAGGGATTTAATGGATTCATGGGGCTTGTAACAGGAGTCTTCCCCACGCATTGTTTATAAGTTTGCTTATTCAAAACATACAGAATGTGAGCTACTTTATCTTGACCATAAAAGAAATAGGCACTAGATCGAACATTTTGCTCCATTCATATGATTCATCAAATAGAGAATAGACCGGAGAAATGAACTGAAGGGAGAGGAAGGCCAACAACAATCCAATCTATCCAACAATAATGATGACAAATAACACAAGTAAACCTCAAAGGCCAAAATTGCCAAATGTCTGCAATTCTAGCTTAATTAACTGGAACTCTTTATCTGATGGGACCAAACCCAAGATATCTGGTAAGGATTAGAAAATAATGTAAATGAACTAAGGTCAAACTTATTTTGTTTCTCAGTAATGGTCTGATCCCCACTCCCAAGCATGACCAAATTGATCAGCTAAAATTGGTCAGTGCTTCTCACATAAAGAATCCAATAAGCGAATTCCTTTGCTGCTATTTTCAAGGTCAGAAGGTGATACCCAAAGCCATTGTAGGATCTTAAAAACATTAACTACATAGGCAAGAACCTATTTGGGATGAAATGGCTTCTTGGCTTGCTTTTTTGTTTGGCCAGCTTCTTGGCTTAAATTTGACTCTCACAATTTAGTGTTTGGAAGTAGTATCAATTAGAAGCATCATATCATTTGTGTAGCTTTCAGTCATACAATTAAGTGCAAACAAAAAGTATCTTACAAATTATGTATTCCACATTTTAGAGTACCATTTTACCATCTTTCTATTATATTCTCACTGAAAGACCAAAAGCTGAAAAAGGCAAGTTGGCTTCTAACTACATCTGCATACAAAACTGTCCCTGCGTTTGATGAAAGGCTGAGGGGAAGACCTAACAAGATATGGAATGAAACAATATGAAATGATAAGTACTTAGATCTTACATATTACTTGACTTGATATAAAAAGAGCAACATTATGTAAGAATGATATAGCAGACCTACTTATAAGGCTTAGCTGTGGTTCTTATAGTACCTTTCCCCTTTAAGGTTCCAAATTCCTATAAATATTATTCATTTCTAAAAGCAAGACTTAGAAAGAAGGAAGAAAGTTGTAAACGTAGACACTACCGAGACTTGCAATGAATTGAACAATAAATGTGTTTCAAAGCAAGAGAGCCTGAAAAAACAATGCCCGAAAAGTCCCATGTCTCTCCTGCATTTGGTTGGACCAACAACCTAACTAGTGAGTTCCATGCAAATACCGAAACTCCTCTCCTCAGGGGACACGCAGTCTCTCTTAATTAATAATATGACATGCTTTGTTACCCTATTTCTTCCTGAGATCCCTTGATGAAAAAAAATCTCTTGTTACCAATTGGTACATCACAATTATTAGAGCAACTGCATTTGAGTCAGAGGCAAGGACCAAGTAAAACTTAAAAACTTTTATCTCTCTTCCACTCTTTGATTCTGCTAACCTTAAGTAACAAGAAGCATAACTAAGTGTACTCATAGGGGGGATTACCACAAAGAACACACTGAGATCAATGCTCTTTTACACTAGCATAAGCAAAATGACTACCTTAGCAATTATGATCATATCGGACAGAAGGAAACATCTTAGCAATTATAGATTAATTCAGGACATTTCCCGTTAAGTGATTTATATGAATCATTAATTTTTCTTATGGAGTTTCTCCATTATTGTCAACCAAATTAACAAGTTCACCCACTCGTTGTGCAGCCTAAATTATTCATCAAGTTCAAAGTTTGCCGAGTGCAGCTTAGTGTCATCCATTGCAGGTCCCATTCAATACTAGCAGGAGCATAAAAAGAAACATGGTTAGCTGTACTGCATGACGAAACCATTAGGAAACATGTCTAAAGCACCAGAAAGGAAAAGAGATCAATGGAGAAAGGTCAAAGTGATAAAGAGAAGTAGCGAAAACACATCGTATCATGAAGACTATCCACTTCCACTGAATTTCTCTACATGTCTATTAATAAAAGGCTACATAAAGAGCCAATAGACAATTCATTAGCCTGAAGGAGAACCTTCAAAACTTAAAGAGATAATGCCCGTCCATGTAAGTGCAAATGCTCATGTACTAGAGGCAGACAGTCACTGAACCACAAACAGGATATGAAACCATTGAAAAACATAAGCATATCAAGACAGACATAGTTTCCATCAAACACAAAATGAAGCGCACATTCATTTCAGAGGTCAGAAGTATAGATCACAGACCGTATCTCTCTTGCTGTTCTGCTTCTCTTCCAGATCCTGCAGAGTCGCATCAAGACGCTTCCTGCATGCAGGATCATCCATTAAAGAATAAACTATGCGATCTGTCTATGAGACATCAAGGTAATATATTGTCTGAAGCACAGCAGTCACCTTTGTACCAAAAAGTGAACTTTTGATGCTCCACAAAATTAGATGTGATAAAACCAAATATACAGATCACAAAGTGAAGCAAAGAGTTACAAAGATCAGCAATAGTCATTGCAACCACTACATAATACTACCAATATCCCATCCATGGAAATTGCAAAAGCATGCTCTTTCAGTAAGACCACGATTATCATTAATTTTTAACTAATAAAATTGCATCTTCTACCAGATTGCCTATCAAAAATGTTAAAACAGTTAGATGCTGCCATTCCAGCTTTTTTAAAAAGGTACTAAAGGATTTTATTAAAATAAGAAACCAAAGTACATCAGGAATTGAAGCAGCAGAAACAAATCATAAACACGGATAAATCAATCCGCAACACGCACGAAAGCGCGACACACTCAAAGGCGCAAATCGGGAGATACTTGACTAATATTTATGTCATTAATTAAAAGGATAAGCTGCTTAGAAAAGAGAGTGAAATCGAATATAAGTAGACTAAAAATCCCATAGATATCCTAATAAGAGATAAATAGAAAACCATTCAAAACCGTCAAGAGAATCTCTTCAACTATCATCTATAATCTAATTAGGTAACTCCTAAATCAACAATATACAATATCTCTATAATCCTAATCAAATCTCAAAGATAAAAGAAATAAATTATTCACATTTACAAAATATTTACCTAAAAATTTTAAAATCCTAAACAAGTAAAAATCTTTTTATTCTCTAATAAAATTTATGCTTACACATGCAACACCCATCCATGAGAATGAAATTCTGTTTCCTGAGATTCTCTATACATAAGGCAGCCGGATTGCTTTATAGGGGAATGAGCGAGGGGAGAAATTCCCCCACATAGTACAATTTGGTTGAGAATATCCTCTTTGCTCCTCAAGCACACATTACCATTTCGTTGTAATACATGTAACCTTTACATAAGAACACCCGCCATTGTAATCATATGAAGCCATCCACTAAATGAAGCAAGCAAATTCATCGACAACATTTTGTGTCAATATTCCATACAAACCGATTATTGTAGCAATAGATTAAACCATGTTCAAATTGCATTTAACATAAATAAGATTACCACTTACTTCTATGCTCAACCAACAATTATCCCCTTGGGGTGATTCTCTAGCTCTCAATTACTGTGTTTTTCTTGTGATTTAAGATCATGATTTGAGAAATTCTTTCACTGCTATTCATAGGAATAACCAGTAGATGGAGAGAAGTACTGTTAGTGAACTATTCTCCCTCTTCTTGCTCGTCGATTATATTATCTATGTTGAACCTTAGATAAGCTGTAAATAGTTGTTTTTTGTTAAGAAGCGTACCAATTAAAGTTAAATGCTCTAGCTCTCCTCAAACTTTATTATTCAGTCTCTATCTATATATATGCCACACTCTCTGTTTACTTCATAACATAATCTAGGTATGATTTCTAGCTTTTTCAAATAATGCACACAAAACGATATAAAGCAACTGGGTGAAATTTAAATTAGAATTAGACAATGAAATATTTAAAACCTTGAAATCAACACACAGACACACATGGACTCATCTCTAGTCTTAGATCGTGTGAACTGGTAAACTAATGATGCCATGAGAAGATCACAATAACGATAAGAGACCAGGTGACGTCAATTAACATACAGTTCAGCAGAGATATAATCAATTCTCTTGCGCACGTTTGCATTTGCCTCTGCCAGATCCTGCTTCACAAGTACAGGGCCAATCAACTTGTACACATTCGCGTCTTCATTAAGCAAATCCAACTCCTACCAGCACCAGCAAACCCAATTAGAGATTTTCACAAATTAACAACCGAAAAATGCATCTAGTCTCACCAATATTCATAATTTCCTTTTCTCTCATCCCCAACTCTTCAAAAAAGTACAGTTCTCGGAAAGAAAGCAGACGGACCTTAAGGACGAGCTCATTCTCCCCAAGCTGGATAGTGTACTTCTTCCTCACTTGGTGATTCTTGGCAATGTCTGGTGAAAATTTCATTCACATGTTAAGGCATCATACGCCATTGAAAAATTTACCAATCCGCATATATGCAAATACATATAAATTATCGGAGCATTTGCCTTTCTGGAGCTTGTTTAAGTCACCAGCCTTGTTCTCGAGATCCCGCTGTAGGTCTCGAAGCGCCGATGAAGTACCCATCTTCTTCTTCTTCTTGGGCTTCTGTCACTGCTCTATTGAAGCCGATTTCTACCAAGTTTTTCTGCGAAATCAATCCAGTCACCACCATAGATCTCTAGGAAGGATTGGGCAGTCAGGTAAAAGTCTGAATTCATATCTACGTGCTTTGGTAGTTGTGCAGCAGAACCACAAAAGGAATGAGAGAGGGAAAGAAAAACGCCATTGCAGTAGAAGGAATCAAGCATGCTGGAAAACAAGCTCGCCAGGGGCAACGAGAGAGAGAAACACACGCAAAGACATGGAGAGAAAATCGGCGAGCTAGGGCAAGAGAAAGGGAGAGACGATCGGATTGTTGGGGTACCTGAGTTTCGACGGCGGTGGCGGCGGCGGCGGCGGCGGCGACGAGGGTTGCGCGGGTGTGGAGTCGCTGCGTGTCGACGACGACCGTGCAAGCGAAAGCAGTGGGCGAGGGAGCAGAGGCGTTCGTTTGAGCCTCTGAGTTGAAAGAGAGAAGGGGGATGGATGCTAATTAGGGGTTATTTAGGGTTCAAATAAGACTATTTTTTTTTCATTTTATGTATATCTAGATCCTAAGTCTATATTAATCTATATACATTTTACTTTGGGTTGATACACGAAAAACTCCAAACCAGTATATTCGTGATAAATTAAGCCCAAATTAATTTTTTGACCACCAAAAATCCAAACCGGTACACTTGTGACAACTTTACTCTCCATTAATTTCCGTTAAGATTGACCGTCAAGTTGCTAAGTTGGATAACACGTGACAGTTAACGGGTATACCAGTTTGGGGTTTTACCTCCGTTTGTCATAGATGTACCAGTTTGTGATTTTTCGTGGTATTAATTCAATTTAACGGAAAATAAATTTATCACAAATGTACAAGTTTAAGGTTTGTTATGGTCAAAAAAAATAGTTTATGGTACATTTGTTATATGTGTACCAATTTGAGGTTTTTCATGCTCAAAAAATTAGTTTAGGGTAAATTTGTTACATGTATACCAGTTTAAGGTTTTTCATGCTCAAAAAATTTATTTAGGTTAAATTTGTTACGAGTATATCAGTTTGGGGTTTTTCTTGGCATTAACAAGAAAACTATTGTCACGCCCCGACCCTCGAGCATGCAACAACCCCTATTCACTTAGGTCATTTGTATACGACGTCCCAAGACTCGTCGCCGATCTTTCATTTTATCTTTCAATTACGCATATAGAAGTGACAACAATCATCCAGTCATAACAGTAAATATTAGGGATAGTAATAATAATCAACAACAGTTATGCCAAAACGACATTTTATTTATTTACTAGATTAACCCTAAGGAAATACATTTACAAAGGGCACCTCTCCTTACAGGTCTACCAAAAAGATACTAGACTGGGGGTCAATCTACTCTATCTAAAAACATCTCACACCACTCTCATCCGAATAAAAAAACTCACCACTCTCAGGCTCTCATGTACGTCTCTCCCTTGATCTCTATCTCTCTCTCCATTTACAATTTGTTCAAGGAAGACGAAAGGATGCTAAGCTCTCTCAAGCACATCTCTCTCTCTCTATCTCTCCATCCATTTTCAATTGTTCAAGGAAGACGACAACGAGAAAGACGGATCAATGCTATGCTCTCTCAAGCACTCTCTCTCGATCTCTCCATCCATTTTCAATTTGTTCAAGGAAGACGACAACGAGAAATACGAATCGGTGCTAAGCTCTCTCAAGCACATCTCTATCTCTAAACACACGATCATCTCTTTCCTCGTTCCTACCCTGCCTTTGGCCGTCGGAGCCCTATCACCTTTGCTCGCAAAAAATCATCGGAGCCCTATCACCTTTGCCTGCGAAAAATCATCGGAAGCCTAGCCTCACACGACATTCTTCCATGGGCTTCGTTGAAACCGTAGATCTAAGACAGTGTTCTCTTCCTCTTTTATGCCCTAGTTTCGTATCACTGTCGACGCTGTTGTCTTCTTCTGTTTGGTTGGCTTATGCAGCGAAGAGTGGATCAGATGCTAGTGTAGAGTTGGACATTTGCCTTTCTTTCTTTCTTTTTTAGAATATCGTTATCTAATATAGATTGGAGAATGTGCAACTGATATTTTACCAAATCTGCACAAATGATGTTTTCTAAGATTAATTACCCAAGCCCTTCCCTAATGGACCATACAACTGGCCATGTGCGTATTATGTTCTCTAGACAATTGAAGGAGTCGGGCGTTCTATTTTAGTTATTATCACTTTTTTTTTGGTCGAAGTTTGCCTCTCTTTTTGTTTTTTGTGGAGAATATCATTAATCAAATATGGATTCGATAACCTACAAATGATCTTTTACCAAATCTGCACAAATAATTTTTCCTAAGATTTATTACCCAAGATCTTTGCTAAGCCAGCACAATGTGCCATGTGCACATTATGTGGAGTCATGCGTTCTGTTTTAGTTTTGCCGAAGCGATTCGTCCCATCGTCGGCCAACTGTTCGTAGAATTTCAGTGACATATTGATGTTTTCCCATACCGCAAGGAAGTTGAAAATGGAAACCAGTGAAGAGAGGGCGAATAGAATCCATTTCAGTTTACAGTTGCTCTTTGTCGAGGGTGACATAATAGAAGAAAGAACCATACCTTGGAAGACGATGTATAGATTCGTGAATTGCAGAGTCCTACTGATGCGGTTCGAGATAAGCTCTTGTAGATTCTTACAGGCCTCTTTAAGTTTCTCCTACCTTCGTAAAACTCTCCATCTATTGCGGTTGGTCCGGATAAAGGTGTTTGGGGAAAAGTGCCAAAAAAGTCATAAATTTTTTGCATTAGTGTCAATTTAGTCCTAAACCTTTTTTTGGTGCCAATTCAGTCTTAAACCTTTTGTATTGGTGTCAATTCAGTCCTAAACCTTTTTATGGTACCAAATCAGTCCTAAACTTTTTTATATCGGTGCCAATTTAGTCCTAAACATTTTGTTTTTGTGCCAATTTAGTCCTTCCGGCCAATTTTGACTAGATTTTGCTGACTTGAATGTCGGCCGGCCGGTGGCCAGTCACCGACGTTGACGTGGACAACTTCAATAATATTTTAATATTTTTTTGAATTATTTTTATTTTTTCTTTTTTTTTTCTTTTTTTTTTGACGTGGTCCAAGCCGACCGCCAGAGGCCAGGTTCGCCCTCGCGCCGACAGGCGAGCCTCGTGGCGAGGGCCTCGCCAGGAATCTGGTGAGGTCGTGCCTCGCCTAGCCGGCGAGGTCGGGCCTCACCCAGCCATGGTGAGGCTCGAGCCCTTGTCGGAGGCCGCTGGTGAGGCTCGCCTTCGCCGTCGTTGGCGAGGTCGAGCCTCGCCGGCGGCTGGCAAGGTCGACCTCGCCAGTGGCCAGCGAGGCCGAGCCTCGCCGGTCTAGCGACCGGCTAGAGGAAGGAGGGAGGGGAGGGGAAAAGAAAAAAAGAAAAGAAAAAAATTCTAAAAAATTATTAAAAAATTATTAAAGTTATCCACGTTAGCGCCAGTGACCGGTCGCCGACGTCCACGTCAGCAAAATCTGGCCAAAATTGGTCGGAAGGACTGAATTGGCACAAAAACAAAAAGTTTAGGACTAAATTGTTACAAATATAAAAAGTTTAGTACTGAATTGGCACTATAAAAAGGTTTAGGACTGAATTGGTACTAATACAAAAGGTTTAAGACTGAATTTGCACCAAAAAAAGGTTTAGGACTAAATTAGCACAAATGCAAAAAATTTAGGACTTTTTTGGCACTTTTCCCGAGGTGTTTGTGTAGGACTTAGGACTAATGAGCGACAGAGGGAAAAATAGAAAGAGCGTCTTCAGTATTGCCTTCATGACGCACACGGGCATATATATAGGTTGTAAGCCCATGGGTAAGTCAATTTAAATGAGCTCCTCCAGCACTACGTGCTGAGACAGCCATTTTAAGCGTATAGAAATTAAGATTTCTAGTAATATATGCGCCAATTTCGTTCAAGGAACATGTGGAATGCGTCATACGGTTCATTATCCTCGGTTTTCAACTTGCTGCTCCTAACCGAAGAATTAATTGAATAATTCAAAACAATAATTAATTGAAGAGTGAGTAAGGTAAGAGGAAAATGTTCTTCGTCTAGGGTTTTCTCCACAGTCAAATATTAATTCCAGGAAAAGAAGCATGTCAATTCACCTATTTTCGGGCAACAAAGTTCACCCTCTTTCTTCTTCTTCTTCTTTTTTTTTCCAGCAATGGATAAATAGCTCCTCCACCTTAGCGGCGGAAAAAAGAAACGTGATTATAGCGTCTTCTTATCTTTTTGACAGGGTCACATACCCTTATTATCATACATACAACATACGTATAAAAGATGCATTTCCTTAGTATTGATTCGATAATTCCAAAGACCAAATCTCCCGTTAATGTTGTCCTGATTAATTTACGGCTTTGTGTATTACATATTGGTTTTGCCATATGCTGAGTTGTGGTGATATAGAGGTCAGAGGCATGTTGTGAACGAACCTCTAATCAGTTTGTGTGTTGTGTATTTGTTACCTCATGTAAAATGTTTCCTAACTTTTGGCAAGCCCTACGGTCATAGCTCCTATAGACTAATAGTTATGACTCAAACAAAATTTTCCATAACGAGTGCGAGACTCTCATGGTAACACCAAGAAAGGTATCTGTGTTATCGCCTCTCTTTGCCTTTTTTTACTTCGGGTTAATTCCAAAAAAAGTACCAACTTTATATTGAGTGACAATTCTAGCCCGAACTTTTTTTTTTGTATAATGAAAAATCACAAAATTTCATTTAAATCCCAAATCTGGCCCGAACAATTTGAAAATTTTACATCACTGGGGCCAGATTTGGAACTCAAATAAAAATTGATGCTTTTAATTGAGACAAAAAAAAGGTCGGATCAAAATTATCACTCAAGGTAAAGTTGAAGCTTTCTTTTGGAATTAGCCCTATATACTTCATTATAATACTATTCCTACTTTTTACACAACCAAAATAACACTATTGAAAAAAAATATCAAAACAAAATGTATATATAACGCATGAAATTAATTTTAAGAGCAAAGAAGTTATGCGTTTTTTGAATGTTTATAATGTTTATGTTGTAAATCTTACTTTTTGATTAATCAATTTGTTATTATCTTTTATCGAATTAGTAGTTTTATTTGGATTCATGATGTGGTGTGCATATTCTTTCTTGTTCAGGCAACAGCATGTCGGGACACTTTGGTTAGGCCTATTACTTGAAGGCAACTCATCCCTTGCTAAGGTGATTGTGCCGGCCTTTTTATGCTAAGTCAACCCTAAAAGCGAATTCGACCAAAAAAAAAAACCCTAAAAGCGAATCTAGCATCAATACGGCCAAAAGTTCATATATTACGATGAAATGCGAGGCATTATTGTTTGGATGATGTGAGCTTCTTCGCATTGTAGATTCTTTTTTCTTCCTTTATTTCAATTTGAGGCGTAGATAGTAAATAACCATTTAGTGTAATTGTGTTTAAGTG